TATTTCAGAAACACAATTTTGGAAAGAAAAAAAACACAACAATTATAACAAAATAATAAAATCCAAGCAAATAAGAAGTCTGTCAACAGTCAAAAATAGCATTTCCAATACCCACACTCCGTTGTTTGACTCTTAAGACTTAAAGACTATTTCTTTGACATACATTAATTGAACCAGATTCAAATTCAAAAAATCTAAAGACTTGTAACAACGTGGATATTAAGTATTTAAGAATAAAACTGCTCAAAAAGTCTTAACTGATCCAACAACTGTGCATGGAAGGTTATTTGCAACATTATTTTAAATACGTATCACCGTATATCGCATATATGTAAGTTTGATGACTGAAGGGTTAATAATGACGTAGAAATGGACTTTATTTCAGAAAATTAAAATACTTAGTCCAAAAATATAAACGGTCACTTGCGACGATCCAAAGAATCTATATATCTATATAATAATTATGGACTCGATTTTTGTGCTTTAATGCCGATAAATCGGGAGAAAACTTTTGGTTTTGGTTTAAATATTATGAAGAATGAATCTATGAAGTTTTTAAATGGGAACTTATTTTTTTCATTATTAGGGTTAATCAATTAAATAACTTTTAAAAATCCGGAATATGTATCTAGAACATTTTAATTTTACAATCTCTTCCGCTTTTAGATACCAATTATGACCAAAGACAACGAAGCTGGGCTAACGTTCAAAACATTTGTAATCTAAAAGAAACAATAATAGATAAATAGAAACTTTAAAAGGCGGACCATAGCATAACAAAATCAGACTACCGTTCAAACATATATAATTATCTTAATAAGAAACAACGACTGTCAAGAAATAGAAATATAACAGAAATACAATGTTTACATGATAGCTTTATAAAACGTTGAAAATAAATATTGAATGCATTTTATTTTCGATAGCAATTAAGGTTCATCGATACCTTGTTAAGGGAGATAACTTTTAATGAGATGAATGTCTATTATTCCTTTAATAATTTGTCAAGTTGAAGTGTCTTTTTTGTTAAATTTCGCCCCCCAAGCTGTGTTATAATTGTTTGTAATTAACTTAAAAAATACATTTCTTTTGGAAAATGATAAGAGTTAAAGAAACATTTTATATGAGTGAACAGATGCTTTATGAACCTTAATGAATAGTGTATACAATTTATGTGCACTTAATCAAGGTAGTATTATAATAAATGGGTCATTCTGATAACTATCTTATGTATTCCTACGTGAACCCACAAATAGCGAGGCATATATAAACGATTTTTCACAATGATAAGCATATTCATTTAATTATCCACAAAAGTTTTGATCCTCCGATGATTTCAGGTTTCCTTCAAAGAAAGAAAAAATAAAAGAATGAAATCATTGGATTCATTCAGAGGTGGGGGTGATGCGCTGATGTTTGATAGCTGATGTCTTTACAAGTTTATTGGTGGAATTTTATTTCATTGATTCATTAAATTAAATAAACTAATAATATGTACTTTTTTTCTGGGTAACTTTTTTTTGGTAACTTTAATATAAGAACTTAATAACTCGGAGAGGGGATTATGACCCCTCCCCCCCCCCCCAAGTTCTGCAATCGAAAATGATAATTCTTCACAAAGAGTGAGGATTGCTTTAACTAAACAAGCAGCATCCAAAACATTCAAAATGCATATGTGTTGAAAGATGGAGCTACAGGTTTTTGGTCTACGTTTGATATTTCGTGGAAGAACTTATTTTTACCTACTAGGGAGTTTGATCATTATGACTGATAGTTTGCATCGTTAACTTCTTTGCATGCTTGGTCGGCGTCTGAATAAAAGCTTTATATGAAGAAAACCTATTTCAGAATTTGAAATTGATCAGTCATCCAGAAATTAAAATATATGTCACGCGCCAAAAAGTGTCTGAAATATTGCCGACTCGGCGGTTAAGCAATAATCAATTAATATGTTACATGTACTTGCATAAATGCATAAAAATAAAGAATTAATTGTAATGAATAACTAAACCACAAGGGTTGAAAAGAATTCATTGACAAATTAGAAAGTACTTTTATCTACCGTATTAGGCATAAATATTACTTTAGGTTTCTGCACGTCCGTCTGGAATTGACGGTCATGCACTCGAAACGTTTTTTGCTACTACTAAAAATAAAGCAGGTGTGCCAGTGATAAAATTTTAACCTTCGAAAATCCCAAAACTGTTGTACATCTTCACGACATGATCTAACACTTGAAAATAAAATAGGTCTTGTGACAGAAATTCGTTTGGACACATGGACAAGCCATGTTGGTTTACTACGAGTACATATATGTGGAACAACGTGAAATTCAACCCCCACCCATTAAAACGTGCGTCAAATTAATTCTTTACTTATTTTTGTTGGTCAGCAATGAAGCACATAATTTTTTTTGTTGCTTTTTTAACTCTGACTGCGCTAAAATCAGGGTTTGAAATTAACAGTCGCCCACTCGCAATTTGCGACTAATGTTCCATGTGGGCGACTTAAAATTACGTTCAAGTTGCCCACTTGGCGATTAGAAAATTTACGATAAGAAATATTTGTTTTTTCAATTCTGTCCGAATGTTTGTATTTTTCTCTTGAAAAATTTCGTAATCAGTAAAGTGCTTTATAATTACCCGTAAGAAGTATTTATACATAAAGCGTCTAAGTGATTGTGTCGGGCACAATGTGGCATCGATGGGTCAATGAGCCCAAGAAACCAAAAAGTACTGTTGTTATTTGTGGATGAAAACGTGCCATGTGCTCTATATATGATATTGAATGAGCATATCAATCTTCATAAACAGAAGAGTTCCACGCCAAATTTAGATAAGTCGTGCATAATGTTACAACGGATAGAAAAGAAACACGAAGCACATGATAAGAAACAACGAAAAACGGGGTTGTTGTTTTTATATTCAGTAGGTGTGATAATCTGCGGGCGAATAAATTTTGATGTGGGCCCCAGAATTGCAAGGTTCAGTAGCCCACATGGCTACCAAGGATTACAAGTTAGTTCAAAACCCTGTAAAAGAAATACATGTATCTGCTTATAAAAATGGTCCCTCACGTACTGGTTAAAAATCATGTAAATATTCCTCATTGCACAGGTTCTACCGTGGAATTTACAACACTTAGAGCAAGTGGACAGAATAATTAAGAGATAAGCTGTTTAGATGTAATTTTCATTACTGGATTTTGTTGACGTTTACAAATTAACATTTCTCAAGTCAATATAAATACTTCAAGAAAAATCATTATACGGACCGAAACGACAGGAATACCGGTAAAAAAGGTAGATTTGGGAGATGAACAACTTGGAATTATAATGTTATAAAATAAATTAAACATTTGTTATTTGCAGTTATATTTCAAAATAGAACTAATTATATAATGAGCAAATGAAGTCCCCATCGACTATCTATTCCTTTGATATACAGTATTGGTTTTGTTCATTGAAATACTGTAGATCACTTTTTTTTCTCGAGATAGGTATCTGGTGTTTACATGTACAAGTGAGACGAACTCTTGGTATTGTTGTACTACAATCTATACTAATGAAAATATACGCGAGAATAAAGTTTTCGCAAGCAGACCGTCTCAAGCAATTACTCGAAAATAAAGTTCTTGCAAATAAAAAGTGATTTACAGTAATAAAAAAGATTTGTGTATTATCCTCCTATTTTAAGAATAATCTAATTTTTTCCTCAAAATGATTTGCAACCTACCTAGATACATAGTTTTGATTGATTGATTGATTGTTGAGTTTTGAGCATTGATTCTACGGTACTACATGTACTCATTTTTAAGTACTTACTATAGCTCCTTTCTACAGTTTTTTCCCAATTCTAACAGAACTTAGCACAAATGTAGATTCAATTCAGAAACAGGATTGTGCTCAGCATTGGGATTATAGTTTTACTTATTTTTCTTCTCTAGAACTTACTTTGATAAACATCTCATTCATTAATGAAGAAAATGTTATAGACATATTTTCTTAACATTATTTGAAATCTTGAAAATTAGAATAGTATAAATACTTGCAATGCTTTGAGCACATAACGATTCTGAGTTTATTATATATATATTATTGCTTTACCGCATTAACCGCCAGGTATTGAAATGATCCAAATTTTAATTTTTTATCGAAGTTATTCACCGTTAAGTCTTGTTTTTATTACTTTGACGTCAAAATAGAACTTCATTGGTATTATACTTTTAAATGGGTCCTTGATAAGGATAATTTGTCAAGTTCGTTATAAATTTCTGCACATCAAAGAAAGTATTTTTGTATTTAAATTTTGCAATGCAAGTTGAAATAAACATCTAAATTTTAAAATCAAAGGAAAAGTACTGATAGGTATTACATGTATTTAAGTGCAGCCGGGTGTAGATTTGGGGGGGGGGGGGGAACCAGACATATGCAGTTTTATAACAGAATCAACATATCACGGAATGCTGAAAAGATCATAAAGAACAAGATCGTCAGTACAATCGTAAACCTAATAAGAATAAAATCGAGATTTGTGCTTTAGGTTGCCTAAAGATAAATGTAGCTATGTTTTTTTTTTAAATTCAGGCATATTCAAAAATATGATGTGTACGTAAAATTATTTTTAAAAATAAAATAAACATGTTATGAAAAAATATATATTATCAAGACAGGTGTTTTTTCCTTCTTTTTTGACATTTTTATTGCAAATGAAATGAAATTATGGATATAATTAGATCCTAAGTAATGAGTTTAATTTATTATTTTACACTTCTTTAATTGATGTTTAAAGTTGTAAAATGTAAAAGCATTGTTCAGTGTAATTTTATTAACTACTTGCAATATTATAAACACAATACCTTAACATTCCCAGTTATTTACAAAAACTATTTTCTAATCTTGAATTCAAAGAAACAGACATTATTATTATTTTTTTAAATAATGTATGAATTTTTCATTTTATAGCATTCTAAAATATTTTCATAGCAAGGTAAAGACATACCTTTTTGGGAAAACCTGACAAAATAAGCTGCTCTGAACTGTTGTTATTCTTTTCAGAGATTCTGTCCATCTCTTTAATTTCACATTCTTCTCTGTATTGCTGATTCAATTGTTTTAACTGTTTTCGAATTTCCTTTAATGCCTTGCTTGGTTGAAACATTGAGGCCATTGCCTATTGATATCCTATGCGTTCTCTGCCACTGACTATTTCAGGATTTTTTTCTCTTGCTGGACCATTTGAGATAGAAAATGCTTTTTAATACTGTAATAAGCATTCCATAATACAATCAGCGAATCACAAGGAAGAAGTGTGTTCAGAAAGTAAGAAAATTTAAGTGGGAGACTGAAAACGATATTATTGACACTAGGCCCCGCCCATATTTTCATATTCATGATAACTGTATTAGTATCCCTTTCAATAACGCTTGACGTGTCTCTGCCTGTCTTCATATTAAAATCATAATGGACATAAACTGAAAAAAAAAAGTATTATAAACTTTTTTCTAAAAGTTGTTAAATCACTATTGATTCGGTTTTTTTTTTTTGGTTTTTTTTTTTGGTTTTTTTTTTGGTATTTACACAACTTCTTAAGGGGTATGATTTCATCGTATATAAGTTTGCCAAAAAGAATACGTTCATCAGGAATTTTAACATTTTTTTCGTATTAGTTTGAATCACTTTGACACGTTTGGTGTGATATGATGATTTATTTTCTTTTTTACAGTAATTTTTTTTTTATTAAGTGCCAAGAGGTAATTAAATGTATGTCATTAACCTTGCACATTCATGATCTCAATAAAAACATTGCTGACATTTTCACTCTGCCTTGAGGTTAAACTATTTATATTTTATAAACTATGTCATATTGCATAACTAAGACACGATTTAATTATTCAAGTCAATAAAAACGGAACAAATCATCTTGGCAATAAGCTAGGTCAAAAACAGTATAAAGAAGATGCCCATGGGCCACATCGCTCGCCTAAGTTCCCACTCACTTCCTGACAAATAACTTTGTACTGTAGACATATGAAATCTCCAACTCTTGTCTTCAGAATAAAATACGTTATTCCAACAATTTTTAATAAACAATCTATAAATGTATAAAATTTTTCTACCTACTTGCTGCCCAAGTCTAGTCCAATATGTTGACCAAGTTTGAATCTGCAATGGGATTGCTTATATATTAGGAAGTTGATTAAACACTGTATGTATAGATGTATGCAACTATATTGAATCGATTAGCTATAAACCTGGTGTTCTTGAGAAAAAACGTTTTCATATATACAAATCTATTCTATATTTAACTACATGTATACTTGCCCTGGGATTCAACAGAACTAATTAAAAAATTACGAATCTTGGAATGCTTTACTTGTTAATCAAGATTATGTTCAAAACTACTACGTTTTCATCAGATCAGACCAAACTGTAGAAGGATTTGGCATTTTGCAAGAATTTCACGATAAGTTTTATTTGTAATAAGCATGGCAACACTACTCATCAAAAACTTTTACTAAGAATTATCTTATTTGGTGTAGTGTACTTTGTTTATCAAGTTATATTGAAATCGGGCAAAACTTTAGAAGAAGTAGCGCTTTGAATAATTTTCACAGAAATACCTATTTTCGTAGCCTTGAAAGCACTGTTCATCGAAATCGTAAATAAACTGATGCACAGAATCAGTATCTTCATTAAGAACAGATGATACAAGCAACTTTTAATCAAAATCACAAAAATAACAACAAAAACAATTTTTTTATATTAAGTACAATAAAATAACTTTAGCTGCATAGATTTTAATATTTTTATTCAAAATTTCAAAATAATCTACAACATGTATAAAATGGTGAAAAGTTGTAAGATTTATAAGGGTGACAGCGAAAAGGTACATGTAGCATTGTGAACATCATAGAAAGCTTGAAATTTCTTAATATTTTACAAGTTTTATATTACTAAACTAAAAGACTAAACGTCTTTGACAGCGGAACAGGAGGTTTTGGTGTTATAACGCTTCATTTGATTGGTCAACAACCCAAGTTTTTTTGTTCGATATAGCAAGAATATTGCGATAAGGCGAAACAGAGCTAAGGAGAACAATGCAGTACAAGGGATTTATTCAAGATTTAATGAAATTAGAAACATTTTTTCAAGTTTTAATTTTTTAAACAATTTCCATATAGAAAGAACTCTGGTTTTACGTTTGAAAAATAAATTCATAATCAAGCGAGATTAGAGTTCATAGTGTAATAATGTGTGCTAAAACTGCTTTAAGCCAAAAAAAAAAAAAAAAGGGAGAAAAAAACAAGATGCGTTTGTGAAACACTGATGCCCCCGTATGGCAACTTATAGCGAATGTTAAATTTCTCAAATGCAAATCAAATATGTTGGCACTTAAAGTAAGGTCTTGTCTCGAGGAATATATCTGTGAAATATGAAAGTCCTAGCAGCAACCATTGAATAGATATGGAAAAGGTTAACGTTTTTCAAACAGTTAACGTTAAGTCAAACATCAAGGTCGAGATCAAAATTAATGGTGCCCAAGGAAAGGTCTTCTCATAAGGAATACACGTGTGAAATATGAAAACCCTAGCACTAACCGTTCAAAAGTTAATGCCAAGGTTAAAGTTTTCCAAAGCAGGTCAAACTCCATAGTCAAGGTTAAAGTCAAAGTTGTTGGTATCCAAAGAAAGGTCTTGTCACAAAGAATACACCTGTGAAGTTTGAAAGCCTTAGCACTAACTGTTCAAAAGTTATGATCAAGATTAAAGTTTTCCAAAGTAGGTCAAACTCCAAAGTCAAGGTCAAAGTTGTTATCATCCAAAAGAAGGTCATGTCACAAGGATTACACATGCCCTAGCACCAACCGTTCAAAAGTCTTGCCAAGGTTAAAGTTGTGTAGAATTTTGCAAAACTGGGTCAAACTCTAAGGTCAAGGTCAAAAATGGTGGTACCCAAAGAAAGGTTTTGTCACAAAAAATACACATGTGAAATATGAAAGCCATAGCTCCAACCAATCAAAAATTATGGGCAATGTTAAAGTTTTTGCGGACAAACACAGACAGACTGACGGACGGGGCCAAAACTTTATGCCCCTGAATACGGGGGCATAAAAAAACACAAAATTTAGCAAACATTTATAAACAAAAATAAAACACAAAAAAAAAAAAAAAAAAAAAAAAAGTAGCAAAATTAACAAATATTAACGAAACAAAAGTTTAAAAAATCCATTTATCTTTTGAGAAATTAATATATTATGATAAGCAGACTGGGAGAAAAGCATGACATTAAATTAATTCACAAACCTCTGCTGTTATTTTATCTTCAATACGTACTGTTTGCTTCATATTCGTCTTTTTTTAACAACATGCTTGTAGTTATTCTCAAATAACACATAAAGGTTGAATCAAAGTGTGAAAAATTAAAAGAAAATAGAAGCTTGGTTGAACTTTTTCAAGTAAGGTAAAAAGATTATTATCATGATTAATACCCTCGTTCATGAACTCAAAAAATTATTGGAGCCTGAATTTCTAGTTTAAATGTACTGATAAGACTGATCTTAGAAGGAAAAGAAAGAAAGAAAAACTATCTGAACTGTTTATGAGAAATGGTCTAAATGAAAACATGCATGTTTCTGTCTTGTGTGTGGCGAATAACATTCCCAAAAAGGAAAATAAACTGCAAAAAGATTTACCAGAGCAGAAGAACTTCTGAAAAGAATGTTAATGGTAGAGTGAATACTAAATATGCCAGGCAAATACACCAAACTTCCTGTTAATCTGCAGGCTTTTTATTGGCTAATCATGTTATAATTTACTTAAATACTAAATTACAAACTGACACAATGCATTATCTCAATGATTTCATTAAACACATTGTTATACAAATATGACTAGTAGATTGATTGTATGTTCTTCAGGGGGACTACATCAATTGCAAAAAATGTCACACTTGGAAATTTTTTCACAACCAAATAAATATAATAATAAATGTAACTACTCAAACCTAAAAAAAAATTCCATTCTATGCCGTAGAGATGGGGGTTACAAGACACTTTCCTAAATCAATTTTCTTCTAACAGATGACTCTCCTTACCTTTTTTAAAGGGATCCATTACCTAGTTACTTTTACATAGAAATTTAAAAAACTCTTAAAATTCTATGGGGAGGGGAGCTTCCTCATTTTTGATTTGCTCTTGAAAATGTATGTATGTAGATAGCAAATATTTGACCCATTTTAAAAACATCTTTAGAGAAAAATAATTGCTCTAATAATAACATAAATTTAGGTGTTTAAAGCTTCCTCTTTGTTTAGATTCTCATATGACTGATTATTTCATATAATCATGGAAGGTGCTCAGAATGAAATATGGAGATAAAGAACAGTATTCAAGTTCAAAGTGGATTAAAACAATACAAATCAGGAGCAGAGCAAAAACGGACCCCCAAAAACATCAGAGGTGGGATCAGGTGCCATGGAGGAGTGAGCATCCCCTGCCGACCGGTCACACCCTCCGTGTGCTCATTGTCATGATCTGTTAATAATGGAAAAATCCATCGACAATTCAGTGTGTAAATAATGGCCTAACAACAAGTAATTCCCAGTTCTTCTAAATTACAATTTTATAATAATGAGCCTTACAAACAAAGACAATATTGTTACCTGCTTTGTCAGTTGGGACCAGTACATATTGATCGTGCAGTCTGATTCTTTTTTCACTTCTGAATTATTGAATACAAAAGGATAGATGGTTTTCATATTGCCCCTCAATTTGTTAATTTGTGATTTTAACATACATCTGATACATTTAATCCATTCTGATAAAGTATCAAGGTCTTCTTTTTCATGTCTGGCCCATCTTCCACAGAATTCATAATATTTATGAAATTATGATTCCAGTTGAAAGATTGGTGTTCCCTTTTAAAGAAGACAAGAATAGAAATATTAAAAGACTTAGTGCGTAACTTTATCACACTGAAAGTTAAATCCTTCACCCAGGGAGCATAGATTCGAAACTGTGTTTATTTATTTATTTATTTTTTTTTTTTTTTTTTTTGGCCTTGTGCTTAATTTTCGGAATTTTTGAAGCATCTTTTAAACCTTAATGTGTTTTTTAAACTTTCTCTAATCATTAACATAAATCTTTTACTGAGTTAAGACATTTTTCCAGAAGTAGACGATTCATC